CATTAGTGTAGTAGTTGAAAGTTCATGATCTTGTCCCCACACCCACAAATCCATCACATGGTCCAATCTTCAATCTTCTTCTTCCACACTGGCATCTCCACCCAGCTGCTTCTGGTCAGGTGCAGAGGTGCGGAGGCAAAAGATGACCTTGGGCTTCTAGAAAAGAATGAGAACAACACATTCCACGATTCTACTCATTTCCATCCCCCCCTCCCAACTACTACACTAATGAAATAGCATAATGAAATAAGAGGGAGTGTGGCAGGCCAAAGATCCTAAAAGGGATATAACTGCAGGCCTGGGACCTGCCTTATGGCGTCTGATGTCTGTCTTCACATCATCGAGATGTGTCTTCCTCATTCCCTACCCAACCCCTTTCTCTCTTTTTCCAGGGCTACTACCCTTCCAACAAGCCCGGAGTGGAGCCGAAGAGGCCTTGTCGTCCCATCAACCTTACTCATCTCATGTACCTGTCTTCCGCCACCAACCGAATCACCATCATCTGGGGAAATTACGGGAAGGTGAGTCTTGTGTCGGCTGGCGGGGGCGGGTGGGAAGAGAGTAGCTGCTGCCTTCCCTCTGATTTTACCCTGCTTTCCTGCACCAGCAGGCCTCGGCTGGCATTTTCAGGGGTGGGAGCTGCTGGCCCAGGGGTGAGGTGGGGTGGATTCGTTTTTCCAGGTGTGTTTGCATCTGGCCTGGGAGAGGCGAACCTTCCGGGTTTTCTGTAATCCACGATGATCCGCTGCTGGGCGTTCCAGCCATGGCAAGGGACTTCTAAGTGGCATTTCGAGTGGTAGAAACAACGCTAGCCCTGATGGTGTTGCCCAGTTGGGTTGTGAAACGTCTGCAAGAGAGCCACTGGTTTCAGAGAGCGCTAAGGATCCCCACACTCCTCGTCAAAAAATGTAGCAAACTCACAAACTCCTCCTCCTCTTCTCCTCTTCCTCTCCAGAAAGCCCACTCCCTTCTAGCACTGATAATGCTACTAGTTGGGTTATGAAATGTCTACAAGAGAACCACTGGCTTCAGTGACCAGCAAGGATCCCACAGTTCTCCTTCTCCTCCTGCCCCTCCTTCTCCTCTTCCTTCTCCTCTTCCTCCTCCCTCTCCTCCCTCTCATCTTCCCTCTCCTCCTCCTCTTCCTTCTCCTCCTCTTCCTCCTTCCTCGCCTCCTTTCTCTCCTCCTCCTCCCTCTCCTCCTTCCTCTCCTCCTCCCTCTCCTCTTCCTTCTCCTCCTCCTCCTCCTCCTCTTCTCCTCCTCTTCCTCCTTCCTCTCCTTCCTCTCCTCCTCCTCCCTCTCCTCTTTCCTCTCCTTCTCCTTCAGGTTTGGTCGCCACACTATTAAAAAGATGTTGAGACTTAATGGTTGCAGTAACTGGGCACAGCTAGTCTAGTGAAGAGAAGGACCAGGGGAGACAGGATAGCAGCCTTCCAATATTTGAGGGGCTGCCCCAGAGAGGAGGGGGGGTCCAGCTATTTTCCAAAGCACCCGAAAGCCGGACAAAGAACAATGGATGGAGACTGAATAAGGAGAGAGATTCAACCTAGAAATAAGTAGGAATTTTCTGACAGTAAGAACAACCAACCAATGGAACAGAAGTTGCCTTCAAAAGTTGTGGGAGCTTCATCCCTGCAGGCTTTCAGGAAGAGACTGGACTGCCATCTGTCAGGAATGTTGTAGGGTCTCCTGCTTGGGCCAGGGGGTTGGACTAGATGACCTAACAAGATCCCTTCCAACTCTATTATTCTGTTACTCCTCCTTGTTCTCCACCACTCCTCCTGCTCCTCCTCCTTCTCCTCCTGTCCTATCCCCTCCTAGCCCTGATAACGTTACCTTGTTGGGTAAGGAAACACCTGTAAGGAAACCCCCCCAAACTCTTACATGCATTTTTTCTTGTTCTCCCTCTTCTTTCCAGAGTTACTCCGTGGGCCTCTTCCTGGTGCGACAGACGACATCGTCAGAACTGTTGCAGCGATTAAAAAACATCGGCATTAAACACCCAGAGCTGTGCAAGGCCCTCGGTGAGTTGGTTCAACCCTCGTTCTGTATCTCTCTCCCTCTGCCCCCTTTTCTCTGTAACTGAATCTTCAGCTTAACCTGGAGGGGTATATCTAAGGCAGGGGGTCCCCCAGCCTTTTGGACCTCATGATTTTAAATCCCGCGGACCACTAATACGATCTGCCTAATGACTGATAGGGTGGGCGTGGCTAGGTGGCCATGTGACTGGGTGGGCGTGGCCAACCTGATGTCACTCACATCGAGGGGTGCCTCGCCAGCCTCTACTCGCCACTCCTCGCCTGCCCACCCAGGCTCCTTAGAAGTCCCAGTAGGAAGCAGTTGCTGGAGCTAAGCAGCCACCAGGAGAAAGAGTCGGCAAAACGGCTCAGTTCGAATTGGATCTGACCGAGAAGGAGGCTCAGCAGAAGCACCTCACTGAGGACTACGAGCATAGACTTTCCAAGCAGAGGGAAGACCTGCGGAACTGCAAAGCCAGTTACCGGCGTCTGGAGGCTCAGCGGGCTGAGATGGTCAGCCAGTTCCAGGCCAGGATGCAGCCCCACTGGAATGAGGCCCTCCGGCTCTTCCCCACCAGTGGTGCTTCCCTCCAACCTTCGCCCAAAGCCCCCCACCAGGAGGCCGAAGCAGACCCCAAGTTGTAATTTCTGCCCCCCTCCGACCCCCACAAAAAGACCCCGAAGGGGGAGACTCTCTGCAGCAACACAAGCGTTCATTGCACGTATCCGTCCCAGGGGCCGAAGTTTGAGGACCCCTGATTTAGTGCAATATTTT